CACCTGTATCCCTGTGCTGCTGGGCTGTGCTCTCCCTGCAGGAGAGGCCATGGAGCAAGGCCTCTCACCTGTATCCCTGTGCTGCTGGGCTGTGCTCTCCCTGCAGGAGAGGCCATGGAGCAAGGCCTCCGGGACTGCTGCCGCTCCATCCGCATCGGGAAGATCCTGATCCAGAGCGACGAGGAGACCCAGCGAGCCAAGGTGTACTACGCCAAGTTCCCTCCAGACATCTACAGGAGGAAAGTCCTGCTGATGTACCCAATTCTGAGTGAGTTCTGCCCCCTTTATGCACAGTCAGACTCCTCTGAGCTGGCAGGGCCTGAATGACAGGAAACCCTCCAAATTTCAGGGGTTTGGGGGAGGTTTTCTGCTTGGTTTGGGTGACAGAGCAGGGAATTCTCAGGCTGCACCAGTGGGAATGCAAAGCAAATCCTTTGGCCATGGCAGTGTTTGGGAGAAAGGCTGAAGATTAAGACTTGATATAAATTGATTTTTTTTTAATTATGCCATGAGAAAAGATTCAAACAGTATTTTTCTCGTGCTATTAAAAACCATTTTTGGATTAGTATTATAAAACTAAAAGTAAACTACTTTAAAATTAAACTAAGTTAATGCTAACAAAAGAAAAAAAAAAATCTGGTAAGTAGTTTGTCAGGATGAGGTAACTTTTCCCATCTAAGAGTTCATTCTCTTGTACCCACGGAGCTTTTGATTTCCATTTGACTATTTTAGATGAGCTTTCTTGCCTCAGGGTTTTAATAAAATCCACCGACTTCTGTATTTAAAACCTGGCAGAGTTGGCTTTTTCAGAACAGAGATGAAGCTCCTTCAATAGGAAACAAGTTTTCTGCAACTGATACAAGCGGAAGTGAGAGTTTTCCAGGGAGAAAGGACAGAATCATCATTCAATCATGGATATTCTTGGATGGCCAAGGACTAGTTTGTCAACCAGGAGGAAAAAATAAAATCTGGTTTTCCCTTGTAGGTACTGGTAACACTGTCATTGAGGATGTCAAAGTGCCTGTAGAATATGATGTACAAGGTGTCATGATCCTGCTCAGCCTGTTCTCTACACTTATGACACACTGAGACCTTTGGTGTCTCTCGAAAGGTGCCAAATCCATCATCCAGGAATTCCCAGAAATCACCATTTTAACTACAGAAGTGCATCCTGTTGCACCAACACACTTTGGACAGAAGTATTTTGGAACAGACTGACAATCTCAGAACAACTGGATGTGACTCTGTGACATTACAAGAGGTTTTTTTCTACGTTTTATTCTTGTTGGGTTGTCAAGGGCACGTTTGGGAACCTTTCTGGTCAAAGGGGGAAATACTTGACTTAGGTGAGTTCTGGCCTGAACAGGGGTCAGGTACAAAGCACTCTGGTTACATGGCCAAGCATCTCCATGTTGGGGTTGTTAAACTGCCACACTCTGCTTTAACTACTTAGTCTTCTATAACCTGAATTTTGTGGGTGAAACAGCACCTAAGTAAGTAAACTCATCCTTTGGGATGAGAAATCCTTTGGGCCTTTTCCACAATGGAGGTAACAGATCCATCCTACAGACCACTCCAGTGAAAGTGGAAATGGATTTTACCCCTGAAAGAGCCGCTTGTGTGTTAAAACCCTGAATATTTGCTCTCCTTTGTTACCTGCAGTAGTGACCTGCAGCATGAGGAATTTCTGTTTTCCAGTGCATTGACCCAGCATATCCCACAGAACTTCACACATCCTGCACTTACCACACTCTTTGTATGTAACTTTCTTTAGGAAGCTACAGAAAAACAAAGTCAATTTAAAAGTAAACAGCAGCCCAGCTTTAACACCAGGTAGTGTGGAGAAAGTCAGAATTCCTGCCTTTACACTGCCCAGTTTGTTCTGGGCTGGAACATCAGTGAAAATTTGCTTTATCTGCCTGCTTAATTCCTAGCTCTGCCACTACTTTGAGTATACAAGGATCTGAGTTTGGCAGGCCTTTTATTTTTAATTTTTTTTGCTTCAGGTTTAGAAGCTCCCAAGAGATTCAGATTTTCCTCACCTCACTGCATTTGGATTATTACTTATCTATACTGTGAATAAGTTATTTTAATATCTTTTTAGGGGGGGGGGGGGGGGGAAAGCAAACCAGCATTTTCCTCATCTATCACTGCATTCCTAATAAGCAGTTTTTAAAACCCTTGGGGATTTAAAGCAAATTTATTTACCCTCATTGAAGGAAACGACATTAAACTTACCATGGAAAAGTGTTGTAATTCTCTTCTGCTATACATACAGTAGCAAATTGAAAACACTTAAGTAGGAATTACACCATGCTTTTGCTATAGATTTTGGATTTTTTCCCTATACTGCAAAGTTCTCTATGCAAATATATTTTCCCCTACAAGCTTTTTGCAATATGCTGCTATACCACTCCTAATTTTGTCAAAGCTGTTAAGGAGATGTGGGTGCACAGGTCATTAACAGTTATTAATGTCAACTGGATACTGAAATCCACTAAGTGGTTTTGAAACATCAGAGCGTATTCTGTACCTGATTGACTCTCGTGAGGCCATTTGGGAATAAATCCGCCAAATCACACTGAGGGAGGGACTTTTCCTCAACTGTCTGCCCTGGACCTCAGCTACAAGTTTTCATCCCTCATAAGGTGAGGATAAGCAGGATCCAGCTGCCATCTCTGCACCTTGGGGGGTGTTCATCTCCCAGCAAACCGGGAAACCTCTGCCTGGAGAGCCTGAGCTCACCCACACACGGAAAGAACAATGTTTGATTCCTCTGTTGCTTTGCCACTTGATGATTTTCAAGACTTTTGGTAAGATTAATCAATTATAGGTATTTTATTGAGGGGCAAAGAAACAGACAAACAAAATGACTGGGCAGATGTCATAAAACACCAAGAGGCTGTTCCAGGAGCATAAAGCATCATCTTATCCCCCTGCTCAAACAGAACATGCTCCACCTCCCACTGGGCTCAATAATCCCTAACATTTCGCTGCTTGGGTTCCTGTATAACAAACCCACCTACATCCTGCTCTGACCTTGCCTGGCATCCCGAAAAGCTGGGCGGAGAGGCGGGACTCACCTCCGTGCACAATCACTGTGTCGCGGTGCCCTCGCCCCGATCCCTCCGGCCCTTCGAGCTCCGCCGGGGGCTCTGGGAGGGAGTCCAGCTGCGGGGATAATTGCCGGTGCTCACCCTCGGCGCTGCCTCGATAAAGTGGATCAATTGTGTGCCGATCCTCTGCTCCCTGAATTATCCATGTTCGACAACCGAATGGATTTTTTCCCTGCCCCAAAGGTGCCTGTAAGAAATGAAAGTGTGCCTTCACATTCAGCCACAGGGTCTTTCCCTCTCCCCCTCTTTCTCCAGCCTCTGGAATCCGTCGGGGGTAGGAGCACTGCTACATAAAAGGATCCGTCTGTCACGGGTCAGGAACAAGGCAACTTTTCCCTATGTCAAATATTTTGGTGCACTAATACTGCAAAATTATTTTGTGACATTAAATTCTCTCTCCTTAATTTTTCCTCTTAAATTTTACTCACATTGAACAGTCAAACCAGAGCGGTTAGGTCATGGTTTGACACTACAGTAAATCTAACTGTAATGATGCAAAGGGCTAATCTGATTTAAAATCACTCTCCCAACTCCAATTTGCTCTAAAAAACATAGCAGGTGAACCTTCTGCAAGCAAGTTTTATGTTGGATCAGATATCACCTCTCTGTCACTCCAACTCTATGCTGTATCAAGTATGACCTGTCCTTCTGCAGCTGCAATAAAAACTCCCACACTTCAGGTACTGGTTATTTCAACAAAAATAGAGTTGGGAACCCACATCTGCTCCAGATGAAACTGGGAGTGCTTCTGCTCTCCGTTACTAATGGTTTTGGAATCTTCCTTTGCCAGTCCCATGCTGTGGCAAGTAAAACTGGTGAGAAATATGCCCTTTACTCGCCCATCCTCTCTAGCACAGACACTGCAGCTGCCTTTGAGTTCTCAAGTCAGACAGGAGAAATTTTCATTTACATTAAAAGTTGGGCTTGGATTTTTCTGTGCAACAGTTTCAACAACTTCTAAATGCAACACACCCCTCAAGAGTAATGTCACTATTATTACAATGGATAGAAACAAAGGTGTCCTGTGGGCTTCCTGAAACTGTGTAAATTCTCAGGAATATGTTTTTTTTTTCCCTGTGTATGGGATATTGCTTGAAAATGAAGACGACTTCATCGCAAGGTCTTTGCAAGATAAGAGTTTTTAGGTATTAAAATGGGATCATTCAAGAGTCAGTGGGAATCCCTCTATGGGAGACAAGTCTGCCTTTACCTTTCCCTCTCCTTAAATCCCGTGTGCTTCAAAACTCAGACTGTAGTGTTTTCTATCCTAACTATTTCTTTTCAGGCACAGGGTTTTTTTCCCATTTTGTGTCACTGATTCCTGATTTCACTTCTCTGCCAGAATGCCACAAGGGAGACGGGCTGATCCTGCAGGGAACACACCTGCCCTTGATCGTTTCAGTGGTGAGAAGGGGAAAAACTGCAGACAAATTTAACCCTGCAGAACGTGGGAAGTCTGGCATGCAATTAATTATGGCTCATATAGGAAAACAGGAATATCTCAGCTTTTACATGGCACGCCAGCTGTCTTTGATATATAACACCAGGTGAGAGGGGAAATCCTGCCGCTGGAAGAGGGGGAGAAGAGTCTATGTCCATGGTTAGAGGGGAAGGAATGTCCATGGTTAGAGGGGAGGAATATCCTCGGTTAGAGGGGAGGAATATCCATGGTTGGAGGGGAGGAATATCCATGGTTAGAGGGGAGGAATATCCATGGTTGGAGGGGGAGAAGAGTGAATGTCCCCACTGACAGACACCAGCACTACCAATTTTCACTTGGTTTTTGGAACTGTGGGCCACCATCAGTCTGGATGATGAGGGGTCAGCTCTGTCCAGCACACACACACACCTGAGGTGACATGAAATGCCCCCACAAAACAGGACTGCAGGGACACGGACTCTCCTGGTGCCCTTGCTGCCCTCCCCATTCCCGGGTGGCTGCAGGTTGAGGTGGTGCCCTGGGCTGAGGAGGGGATGCTGTGGGCTCAGGGGTGACTGTAGTTCAGGGGTGACTGTGGTTCAGGGGTCCGTGGGCTCAGGGGGTCCATGTGCTCAGGGGTGACTGTAGTTCAGAGGTGACTGTGGTTCAGGGGTCCATGGGCTCAGAGGTGACTGAGTTCAGGGGTCCGTGGGCTCAGGGATGCCCGCGCCTTGGCCCCCCCCATATCCCCCCCCACCCCTCCACTTTGCCCCCTCTAAGATGGCGGCCACCCCTGAGGGCCGGGGCCGCGCGCGGGGCGGGGCGGGGCGGAGCCGCCCCCACAGGGCGGCGCCTGCGCGGGGGCGCGAGCGCTCCGGCACTTCCGCGTGTGGGCGGCGCTTCCGGCGCCGTTCCTTGGTAACAATGGGGCAGGAAATGGCGGCCTGAGCGGGCAGGGCCGGGCGGGCAGGGGAGCAGCGCGGCGGCTCCGGCAGCGGCACCGGCGGCTCCGGCACCGCGCCCAGGCGGCGCGGGCAGCGGCGCACCCACAGCGGCGGGCGCGGCGGCGGGCGGTGAGCAGCGGGCGGTGAGCAGCGGGCGGCGAGTGCCGGGGCCGGGGGCGGGCTCTCAAAATGGCCCGGGCAGGGAGAGGCCCGGCCCGGCTCGGCCCGGGGGGAGGGGGCGGGAGCGGCCCCGGCGCGGAGCGGAGGCGGCCGGGGAGCCCTCAGCGGGGTGCGGGGGCTCGGCCCGCGGGGCCGTGAGCAGGCGGAGCGCGGCGATGGCGGCCCGGGCGGGTGTGCCGGGCTGGGCCCGCTCCGCCGGCCCGGGGGGCGCCCCGGCAGCGCCTCCCGCCGCCAGCACCGCCCTCCGCGGGGCCGGGGCTGGGGCCGGGGCTGGGGCTGCGCGGGGCCCGCGGGCTGGGCGGGCAGCACCCCGAGCAGGCCCTGTTTGGGTGCCGCGGGGGGTGGCTGTGGCTCTGCCCGGGGCAATCGCGGCTCCCCGGGCCGTGTTCTCAGCCTGCTGGGCTCAGACAAGCAGCCCTGGTGAGGGACACGGGCAGGGGGACCCTTCCAATCCCGCTGTGTCCTGGTCAGCTCTGACCGGTTAAAACCTGTGCTGTTCGCTATACCTGAGCTGAGTTTCTCTCCGGTTAATCGCGTCATCTTTGCTCTGTCACCGTAGCTTCTTGTGCGAGTTTTCCTTTACCCCTTTTAACGCTGTTTGTTAACATTTAAGGTTTCTGTGTGTTTTGAAGCCTTTCTCAACTCCGGCTGGATGTATGTGTTTATCTTCCGTGATCTACTTTAATTGAGGAGCAATATCAGGTTACATATAAGAGCGTGTATATAAAATGTGATTATTAAGATCTGGTTTATGTGTAGTAGGAACCTGTCAAAAGGTTTCACAGCAAAAGACACTGATTAATTTTATTTTTTAATAATAGTTTTGTTTGTTCCACCATTTTCCAGGAAGGTGAAAATACAGAGAAGCTTCTGAACAGGAGTTCAGTCTTGATAATACCCAGTAGTATTATGACACATCACATTTCTTTTCCCAGTCCATATTGCCAGTACTGCTTAATTTCAAGTGGAAAATAGTTGTCAGAATGCTAAAGTTCTGACTCTAATTTGTCCCTGAATTTTAATTGCAGTGACTTGCCAAGTCTTAAAGAAAAAAAAAAAAAAGCACCACAAAAAAACAGTTGGCTGCTTCTTGGGCAGTTAATTATCCTAAATTGAGGGTCAGATGTTTAGTTTTGTTGCAGTCCTCAACTAGCACTTAAACTGACTGTATTCCCTCTACAGGATTACCATTTTGAAATTAAAGGACTTATGGCTTAGAATTATGTCCTGGGAAGGGAAAACACACCACACATTATAAAATTAAGGGCTTCTTGTTATGTTAGACCACTAAAGCACAACAGCCACAATGTTCTCTTCATCAGCAGCTCCCACTGGGTAAATGTTTGTCACTGAAACAACCACACCAGCATTTTTCAAGCCTGTAGTTGTTGTCCTGTGTATCATCTTTATTTTCCATATTAGTGAATTCCTGTAGACATGCCAAGGTGTACTGGACAGAAGTGCTACAAGTGTCTGGTCTCCAATATGTGTATTTGTTTTTTTTTTTTAATGGTTATTTTTAGAGGGATGGACAGGGTGCTCCTTAAATGGAAATGCTTTCAAAACACCTATGTATCATATACCTACCTGGCTTTTTCTTTCCTATGGGAATGTATCAAAATAAATTCCTTGATTGTAGTGGAATGATTCCATTTGCAGTGGAGGTGGTGTTCTTCTTTTTTTTTCCATCATAATATACTGTTGTGACTTCATATACTTCAGTCTAAAGATTACATGTAAGTCCAGTTTATTGTAGCTTAACACATTACTGGGTTGCTCTGATTTTTTATTTATTTTTTTGGGGGTAGAGGACTTAACATTCCACATATTAAAACGTTTGAATTTAAACATGAACATGGGGTGTTTATCCAAATTTTCACCATTAATCTCAGTCTTGGTGAAAATTGATCAGCTCTTGAGAATGCAAAAATTAATGTTGAAGGGATAAAACCAAATGTTTAGTCTTAGTCAGGGAGCTTTGTGTGGTGAGCAGGGGTAACCAGAAGCATCCCAGGAACTGGTTTTGGTTTTGCACAGGTTCCTGGCTGCAGGTGAGAAACACCGTAAGAAGCACGAGCCTGTGTCTCCTTCAGACTGCTCAGGTTTATGTTAACGAGGCTCCTGTTAATAACTTTTGGCTGATGAGCAGTGTGGAAGCTCAGCTTTTTACTCGAGGAGGTCTGCAGAGTTGTGTGATCTCACAGAACCATCCAGTGCTAGGTGGATGTGTAGGAAAAGTCAGCACACGTTTTGTCTTAGCTCAGTAATTCCAAAACGTCTCGCTCAGAGCACCCTGAATTTCGATATGCAAGGTAGTCTTGTTGAAATGCAGGGGCCTACCTGCCTTGGGATGGCAGCAGAGATGGAATTCTCATCCTACACATGCCTCTGTAGATTCCAGTAGATTTTACTGCGTTTTGTTTTGCACTTCTGTCTTGGTTGGGCACCGGATACCAAGCAGAACAAGAGTGCACGTCTCGGAATTCCTGTGTGGGTTGTGGTTGTAGTGATTCTCACTGTTCTGGTGGCCTTTTACTATTGGTAGTAGCTGTACTAGCAGCAGTTGTGTGGAGGCAGTAAGAGCAGTAAATGTAAAGGTGGGTTTTCCTTTTTTTGTTGAAGTTCCCTGAGTTTTGATTGGCTTAGTGCCTTCACTAACCATGAGTTCTGTTTCTTCAGGAATCGAACCTCTCATGTCCTTGGATATGAGTCCCGTTTGTGCTGCTGTTTCTGTGTCCACACTGGTTACTTGTGTGCAGCTTTACTTCTTCCTTTGAGCTTCTGCTTGCTGACGTAGCAGGAAGCTCATTTCTGGGTGAAAAGAGCATCATTTCGTGAGATAACAGTGCTGGAAACTTGCTGAACCTCATGTACAGTGTTGCTCTTCTGTGATATCTGAATTTGATGGCGAAAGGCAGAACTATCTTAATTTTCTTTTCCACTTGTGCGTGAAAAGAGTTGTTTTAGTAAGTGCAGATGATAAAATGTGAAGCCCTGTAATTTGGCAGTTGTTCCCACATTTTATTTTCAGAGCTCCATCTTGGTTCCACATGCTCTCAGTGTTCTTTTCATACATACCCTGATCACTTCTCTCTGCCTTACCAGGAGTTGTTAGTGTTTCTCTTCTTTATCTCAACAGTTGGTTCTGCCAAAGTGTTTTTTTGTTGTTTGTTTGTTTGTTGTTTTAATTCTGTGGAATTTTCTGCAACTGTTCTGCAAAAGTATTCATTGCTCTCCTTTGTTTCAAACCTAGGTTCAGAGTGACATCTTGTTTCAGGGCCTTTGCTTTGAAACACTGCAGTAGTGCAATAGCTGAGTGGATGTTTAACACTCCTCATTAAACTGGCATTTCAATTTTACACCACTTTACACAGAACACTTCAACAGAAGACAAAATTATCTTCCAACTCTCCGAAAGTGGTGAATGTTCCAGGATAGTTTTTTGAGTCAAAGAGGACATGGGGAGTTCTGGAGTTTAAAATTTGTGGTAAGTTTGGTAAAAGTCTAGTAGGAACCTGAGTCTGTCGTTCATCGGAGTGGAGATAGAAAGTGACGAAAAAATATGTCCAAAATTCATGATGCAACTTTGGAAACTGGGGAAGTTTGTTACCTTTTACTGTAGATGAGCAGATTGGACCTCTGGTACCAAAGCCTTTGGTGTGACCACAAAAGGGAACTTGTGCACCTGCACAAAAAGTGAAAAAACCAAACAAACTTGAAGCTCTGTGTATAATGCAGATAGATGACTTTCACTTCACTGTCTTAAGGAATCTTCTTCCTTTAATGGTGGGATTCACTGGCATTTTTTGCTTTTGCCTTTGAGCTTGCAGACTTGAATGATGAAATATTTAAGATGAAAGTGTAGTTTCTGTTATGTCTTACTTCCTTGCTGGTTTTGAGTATTGAGAAATTGGATACTGACTGGCATGGAACCCATTTTTCTACTTTTAATCCTTCTAGGAAAATGTAGTCCTTGGGAGGTGGCGTGGGTTGCATGAACATTGCACATGAAGTTGGGTCTGCTGTGCTCGTGTGAAGAACTCTGTGTAAGAGAACTGCCTGTTCTGGCGGCTGTTCCTGTGTCATCTGAGCCACGGAATCGGAGGCAGTGCTGGTCCTGCCAAAGGGGATGGCACGTTGGAGCTGCTGGAGCCAGAGTTCGTGGAAAGCTCTTGGACAGGCAGCTGTGCTGGGCTTGTGAGGAGCTGACATGTCCCTGAGGTTTGGTCACTGAGAGCAGGGCAGGGCGAAAATAGTCTGTAACAGCCCAAACCAAAAATATGCATTTCTGGCTTCCACTGCTGAGTCACTTCTTCTAGTCCAAGGGTTGGATAAGTTGTGCAGACTGGAAGTAAGCAAGGTGCTCAACTGGTTGAAGGACCTAATTAAGATGAGGTGATGAATCATAAACGGGAAGTTGGCCTTGTGCTGAGGACATCCATGAAACACTCCCATCGCCATCCTCTCTTGTACGTGTACAAAGGAATTAACTGTGCTGCTGGGACGTGAGGGAGCTCAGGAAACATTCCTGCCATACAGGGCATGACAGAGCCTCGTGTCAGGTTGAAATACCGGTAACACCTACTGGGGGGAGTTCTGGAGGCAGTTCTTGTTGCACAGCTCTTGTGAGCAGCTGACTTGTGTCTGCAGTTTAACTAATTCCATGCTTTGTCCTCTTAAAACTTGAGACTTGCCCTCTAAATCTAATGAGGATTGTGTCTTTAAGGTATTGTTTTTTCATTTCACCCTGCTAATGAGTGACTTCTGAATTGATCAGATCTTCTAAGTTTTGCCTAGTTGGTTTAATGAGAGTTTTAATGTTTTATGAGACTTCTTTTAAATTAAAAACCCAGAAATGCAGGCTAAACTATTGTCTTGGTGTTTACAGTTAAGTGATGTCAGGAGATACCACGCATTTCTGAAGGTGGAAGGACCAGTGATTTATCACAGTGCCTTATGTCCATTAGTACCTTTTCTGGGAAGAATTCTGTAGTCCACAGTCAATACACTGTGTTGAAGATAAATGGATAACTCAAGTATGTTATTCCAGTTTGCTGTCCCAGCAGGTTGTGAGCTCTGGATTTGGAGCAGTAGTGCATTCCTGACTGGATTTAGTTTACACACAACTTGGCGTAAGAGGAAAACGTAAAATATTTCTTGTACTGTGAGAATGATAATTTTGCATTATTGAGGGAGTATCTGGTACTCTAAAATTCTTTCCAAAAGAGCATAGTATTACTTCCTCTCGAATAAAAGAATGTAACAAACAATAGCTTTTGTGGGTTTGCTGCAGTCTGGAGCAGCAGTGGAGAGACAGCCAGTCATTTGTGCTCTGAAGTCTCTGAGGCTGGTGAAGGGAACTGCAGGGAAGATACTTTGCTGACTTGTGGAAGGATGGGAACACCAGTTAAGGATTCACTGTAGTTACTGTGTCTGGATATTCAGCTGCTGAAGAATATTTCGTGTGTTTTGTTGGTGTTTTGTTTGTTTTTTTTTTTTTTTTTTAAAGCAGAAAATTATTTATTCTGGCAGTAATTCTCTTGCTTTGTGCAACCTTTAGGTGATCATCCCCTCCACTTTCCTTTAAAGAGGTTGTCATTGCTGGGTGTCTCAGCTGAAGTTGGCATTAACCAGGAGATCTGAACTTCCTGCTCATAGTTGTGACCTTCCCCACCCTTTGTCAACTCAGTGCTGACAAGGAAGGACACTAAAGAAGGAAATTCTGAATCTTTTAGCTTGGATAAGAACAGAGTCTTACTTTGAGTTGAACTAACCCCCTGGAGGAAAGAGGAACGTTTGAAGCCTACCTGCTTATGAGATAATCAAATGCTGGTTGTTCTGTTGTAAGTTAATAGGACACCTGTTGGGTTTCCCTCCTCAGGTTTCCCTGTGTTAGTGGAGTCAGCTTCCTTCAGCCAGTCTGAATGTCCTGTGGGGTGTGAGCTGAGAGCAGGATCCTGAGGGAGGCACAGATTTCCAGGTTATTTCTGCTGAGTGCCGTGACAGGAGTCGTAACTCGCAGCGTGGAACTCCTGCAGGACAGCCCTGTGGAGCTGTGCTGAGTGAGGCAGGAGGAGTTAAACCTTCCAGTAAGGTCAGCCTGGCCATGAGCTCTGCAGCAGGGTGGGAGCTGAGCCTTAAACTGCACAGAGTGCACAGGGAAGAGAGGGAAAGTAGCAGAAGCCTTGGGGGAGAAACCCTGGTTTTCATTTGTGAGTTTTAATCTCAGAGTTCTGGTTTGAAGAGCATCATCCCATTTGCTGTCAACAGTAAGGCAGGGACAATGTGTTGCTGTGCATTTGTGTGCCATCTGTATTTCCATCAGTGTAAACATCCCATAGAGACTCACAGCGTTTCGAGGGTAGTGAGACTGGGGGACAGTGGGCTGGTGTCATCTGTTACAGTAGCTTGCAACAGGAAATTAGAGTGAGTCTGTCAGCAGTAGAAATAGTCCTAATGTAAATTAAATTCTTCATTCAAGATCCCACGTCGGAGGCAATAAAATCTTTTCAGTCTTGCCCATTCGCTGATTTTATGGTTTAGGAGGGAAGGTGAGAGATGATGGAGGAGAAGAGAGTAGCTAAGCTGGAAATTACTTGTCCTGGGCATTTTGGAAAGAATCACCTATTGAACTGTACATCAGTCTGTTGATAAAGAAGAGATTACATTCTTTTTTTAACCCCCACTAGACTTGTTTGGAGTCTCCCTTTTTCCCTGACCAAAGATAGTGCCCCTTTTTCTCTGAAATGGAGTAGGCAAACGCCTTTGAATCCACTGGGCATTATAAAGCCAAGGTGCCTGCAAGCACTGGAATTTTTAGATAAAAGGAAAATTTCAAAGCATGTGCAGGAAACCAAGGTCATGCTTTGTATGCATAGTGAGATTTTCTTTTTTAAAAGCTGTTGTAGAATTAGTCTAATGCTTACAAAGATATTAATGTTGCCAGATTTATGGAGACATTCTGGGTGTTTTGCAGTCAGTAAATCCCAAGCTGGCAATCAGTTGGGGTAGAATATTTTACAAAACTTTCTGCTGCTCCTGTCCTTCAGCATCTTACAGCATTCCCTTATTTTTCTTAATCTTATTGTTGACTTTGCTTCATTGTTATCCTAAAGCAGGGAATAGTGCTTAGAGTTTTGATGTGTATTCCCAGAGAACTAATGCATCTTTCAAAGCTTTATTTTGGATGCAAGTCCCTCATTCTACTCGAGGCTTTTATTGAGATGTTACTTTTAAAAGCAGCTGCCTTTATTTCTGGGATCTTCTCTAGAATATCTTCAAGTGATGTTACTTGGAGCCATAATTCTGCTCCAGGAAGCTTTGTAAAAAGCTGCTTGACTTTGAAGCCAGCTCTGTTCTGGTTGGCAGGACGTGTCTGGCGTGTGGAGGGCACACAGATCTCCTCCCCGAGCCCGGTCAGGGTGGAACGTGCCTCCTGAAACCATTGCTCAACGTTCCCGGGGAGTGGGGCCACTGACGGGTGTCTGACAGCACGTCACATGCAGGGCTGCAGATGGGCAGCCTTTGCCTTGCACCAGAGAGGCAGAAACGCAGGGAAAGCTGATGACTTCCTTTCAGCACAGGGGTGACCCTGTGGTTGCTGCTGATTCCTGGAAAACAAGGTGGAGCTGGAACTGCTTGGCTAAAATGGCAGAACTTCACAGAACTAATAACCCTGAGTGACAACAAGTTGATACCACTAACCTAAACCCAAGTCCTAACTCAAGACAAAGAGGGTTGGAGCGGCAGTTTCTTAATTTACAAGTCTGCAATAATATGATGTCCTCTCCTGTGGAATTTTTCTGGTGTTCCACGCCGAGGTCGTCATGCACTTTAATTTTCACTGTAGCAGCTGAAGCAAAGTGCCCGTGGAGATCATGCAGTGCTGCTCTTCTGTGGAGGAGCACTAATGTAAACTGTGGGCAGTCTTGACTTGACAGCTGTGCTGACAAACCAAAAAAAGATGCTTTTTTCCACTAGACAGATGTCTAAGTGTTGGAAGTTTTCCAGCGAGAAGCAGAAAAGCTTTATTCTTCCAGTATTTTCATGTCACATGAAGTATGGTTTAAATGAAAGGAATGTTTTCTGATGGGGAATGTTACTGCAGAGCTTTTCAGCATGCAGAGGATTAGCTTGCTAATCACCTCTCTGAGTAACTAGATTCTACCAGTTGTGCAGGAAAATTCTTGATGCTGCGAATAGCGAGGCGCAGTGATCAAGGAAACTAGTTATTTTATCTTCATTTGATACATTTGCATGGCCAGTGCCAGAATGTCTCCTGCATTTGCATCTATTTTGTTATAATAGTTATCAGATATAGACGTGGAATTCATCGATGGTTTTCTTTGAAAGAGAGACTCTGTCAAGTATTTCACCCGAGTGAAAAACAATGTGGGTAGATTATATTTAAAAATATGCCACGTAGAAGACAGTTTTTGAAAGCAGATGTACACCTGGGACGTGCTGGGGGGTTTGTCTTGGAAATTCTGATTGTCAACATCAGTAATGCGGTAAACGCTGAAACTTGAAATTCTTCTCTTGATGTAAAACACTAAATGTGATTTTACAAACCTTTTTGCAAAGGTTTTTACAAACCTGTTTGTGGCAACAAAACCTTTTTTTTTTTTTTTTTTTCTTTTGTGCACATAGCGTTCCATAGCATCAGAAGATGCTATTTGATTTCTTCATATCCCTTCATTCTGTTAAAATGCACTTGGATGGTGAAGAGGGTGTTTGCTGTAGGAGGCAGGGAAAAGCAATGAACATCTTTTAGAGTCAGAGAGTGTGATCAGGGATGGCTTTTACCTTGTACTACACCACTGTGAGGCTGCTTGGGGAGGCAGTTGTGGTATTAGGGATGTTTTATACCAAAAAGCAGATAATCATGGACACCTGCTCAACTATGCGAATGTAAAGGTGGACTAAGGCTTTGGCAGATGATATCTCTGTGTTCATACCTGCTGCTTTGCTGAGTATGTGGTCATGATGGGCATCGGTTTTGTTTGTGCTCCTTGAAGAGGTTCGTGCTTTGAGAAGGGCTTTGGTTTTGATCCCTGTTGTTGTGGCACCTGATCTTAACTGAAGCTTCATTAGCAAACTGCCTCAACCTGTACTCTGTTCTACATTGTAAACATGCCTGAATGTCATGCCCTGATTCGCTGCACTCAGTGAAGGGTTCGTTTTTTCCTGTTTTAGGTACTCTCTCACTCGTCAAGATGGAAAGCTCAGATTCCGGTGATAAAGGAAATATCGATCAGTCAGAGGCCCAACGGCAGAGTCAGCTGGACCGCTTAGATCGAGAAGAAGCTTTCTATCAGTTTGTGAACAACCTGAGTGAAGAGGACTACAGGCTTATGAGAGATAACAATTTGCTAGGAACACCAGGTGGGTAATGCTTGTGCATCCTACTGGAGTTGCTTGTAGGCAGTTTGTGTCCTTTCCTGTTCTCCTGAAACAGTTTCCCCCGTTTATTTGTTGTGCTGCGGTTGTGTTCCATGCCAGGAAGTAGCTTCTTGCTAGTTTGTGCCCACTCAAATCTGAGTGGCCCCCTGACTAGTGGAGAGGTAGTTACAAAAGTCTAGTGTTTACACAAGTTGGCAGGAATACCCAGGTTTGACCCAGTTCCAGTTATGGACCCTGAGATGGAAAAAAAAAAAATCTCCCTTAAGTATCTGTGTGCAAATTTTCTGCTGGTGAGGTGAAGTTTGTACCTGGGGTAGGTAGTCTGGTGAGAGATTCTGCGTGGGCATTTTGATATCAGTTCTTAACTTATTACTTTAAATTGACTCTTTATAGGATTTCAAACCATGAATTCAACTAATTTAAACCTTTTTTCATGCTTGTGAAAGTGTTACCTCGTACATTTTACTCTGGACAGCCAGAGTGACAAATAGGATGACAAAAATTGCTGTGAAGTTGTAGAGGTTACAGAACCAGAGAGCACATCTGTCTTGAACAGGATGGAGCTGCTGGATATCTCAGCTTCAGCAAAACTTACTTGGGACAGGGTTTAATTTGACAAAAGACAAGCAGTGGCTTGTACCTTCTTGAGAAGCTTTTGATAATGCTTGCCGTACATATATGATTTGGAAATATTTTTGGAAATTTTTGCTTATTTTCTAAGGTGAAATTACTGAAGAAGAGTTGCTGAGAAGGCTACACCAAGTTAAAGAAGGTCCACCACAGCAAAACAGTGATGAGAATAGAGGTATATACAGTGTTTGTGCAAACTCTTACCTTTAGCACCCATATGGACCTTAACGTGGGTGCGGGAGTGGAACGAGTTAAGCCTAGGCAGGTGCAAGGTGAGCTTTGTTCCAAAACTCAGTGCTCCTTATGTCTGATACCTGCTGCAGAGGTCAGTTTGGGACAGATTTTATTCATGACACAATCTGTTACTTGTATCAAGATAGTTTCACTTGGGTTTGTTTCTTTTTTTTTTTTTTTTTTTAAGATAGCCTTCCTCTCTGCTCCCTTCTGGGGTGCTTTTTGGCAATCCCTTTTCTTTAATTCACCATTCTCCCCTTCCAAAGGTGCTGTATTTCTTTGGTTATCACCCTTCTGTAGGGATTGGTGGAGGATGCTCAGAGCTGACCACTGGGATTCATTGTTCAGTGAGACAGATTTGCCATGAAGCTCTTCACGTGAAGGCTCAGGGCAAACTTAGTTCTCTATTTAATGGTCAATAGAACACTTAATTGTTTGGAAAGGAAAACACAGAATATTGATGTGTTATGACACCTGAGGTGTCTTTCCATTTACTTACAGTAAACAGTATGTGTTATTCTGATGACTTGTTTGCTCTGTGATGGCTGCAGCCTATCTGTCCACATTAGAGCAGTGTCCACTCCTGCTCCCCTAGAAGAGCTCTGGCAGATGGGAATTGTCACGCCGTGTGTGACACCACGGCACCACTTGGTAGTGTTCAGCACTTCTGAACTGTCACTTGTTAAACTAAGCAATTATGTTCTTGGAAAAGATCACTCCAAAATTAGCTCAGTGCTCTAATTTTGGTAGTTCCCTGTCTTTTTCACAGGTGCAGAGTCCACAGAAGATGTTTCAAATGGAGATTCTATAATCGACTGGCTTAATTCAGTCCGACAGACTGGAAATACAACCCGGAGTGGGCAGCGAGGAAACCAGTCCTGGAGAGCAGTGAGCCGGACTAACCCCAACAGTGGTGACTTCAGGTTCAGTTTGGAAATCAATGTCAACCGTAACAACGGGAACACAAACCCAGAAACTGAGAACGAGCCATCTGTAGAGCCTTCCAGTGGGGAGGATCTGGAAAACAGCCAAAGTGACTCTGAAATTCCGAGGTCTGAATCACCATCTGTGAGGCAGCCTGGATCAGAAAGGAGCACTTCGGAGGAGGTAACGGCCGAGGAGGCTTCCCCTCCTAGAGGGCAGAGGAGAGCCAGAAGCAGGAGTCCAGAACAGCGGAGAACACGGGCTAGGACTGATAGAAGTAGGTCACCTATTAATCCAGTGAGCGAGGCTCCTCGCCGGCCTCACCACAACCCGTCATCTCACACGCTCGAGCACTCCTCAGCGCAGGAGGCTGAGGGCAGCTCTAGAACTAGGCAGCACGTGACCTTGAGGCAGCACACGGTGGGGACTGAGGTGCCAAGTGAAAATGCAGTTCTGTTTTCCCCCCCTGAAACGAGACCGGCTCCTCAGGCAGCCGGTTCATCAGAAACCACCGGCGCCGGTGAGTCGGCAGCTCCCGGGCAGAGGCCTCCTACCATAGTGCTGGACCTGCAGGTGAGAAGAGTGCGACCAGGCGAGTACCGGCAGAGGGACAGCATCGCCAACAGGACACGGTCCCGCTCCCAGACCCCCAACAACACCGTCACCTACGAGAGCGAGCGGGGCGGCTTCAGGCGCACGTTCTCCCGCTCGGAGCGGGCCGGGGTGAGAACTTACGTCAGCACCATTCGGATTCCCATCCGCAGGATCTTGAACACGGGCCTGAGCGAGACCACGTCCGTTGCCATTCAGACCATGCTGAGGCAGATCATGACAGGCTTCGGGGAGCTCAGTTACTTCATGTACAGCGATAGCGATGCAGATGCCAGCGCCCCCACCCCCGGCCCCAACGTGGATACCTCTGAGCCGCAGAACGGGGCTGGGGGCGCCTCGGGCAATGAGAATGCAGATGTTAGCTCAGGGGAGGTGTATGAGGGTGGCCATGAAGCGAGTTCAACGTCTGGGGCCAGACGGGAAGGCCGGAATACGAGGGGATCGGTGACGTTTGAAGAAAGTGGTTCTCTACCATTCCTTAGCCTTGCACAGTTTTTCCTCCTAAACGAAGATGATGATGACCAACCAAGAGGACTCACCAAAGAGCAGATTGACAACCTAGCCATGAGGAATTTCGGTGAGAGCGATGCTCTGAAAACCTGTAGTGTGTGTATCACGGAGTACACGGAAGGCAACAAGCTCCGGAAGCTGCCGTGTTCCCACGAGTATCATGTCCACTGCATCGATCGCTGGTTATCGGAGAATTCCACTTGTCCCATTTGTCGCAGAGCAGTCTTAGCTTCTGGTAACAGGGAGAGTGTTGTCTGAAGGAGAGCTGAATCAATGGCCAAGCAGCTGGTGTGATAGTGATGGGCAAAGAAGTCACTTCCTTTATGGCCACTTTTTGAGTGGTACCTCAGTGTATAGTAATGACTTGGAGTGAATCTTCCCTCATTTTTTCTCTGGATTCAGGCTTCGGAAATTGGAAAATTTCTTTAATTAGGTTTTTCGAGTTATAGTCAGTTTGGGTGTTAAATTTCACTTGTCCAAAGATGTCTACCCACTTAAAAATATTTTTTTTTTCTTTGTGAAGAGTATTAAGTTTCTTTCCCCCACCCAGCCCCTGCCATCCCAGTTCAATAAACAGTTTGTCCTCAAGATCGTGCTTGTGAGGAGTTCTTTGAGAAGACATCCCAGCTCAATGTCCATGAGCCATAGGGGAATTTTTGCAAGAAATCCAACTATCTGAAAAAAATAGTATGATTGCACACTTAAACATACTTTTAATTTTCCTCCTGGGTTAATATTGGACATGTCTGTGTAAATAACACTAATATTAGTCCTTTCCCCATCACTATGGCACGCTGTAGGATGAGCTGTTAGCTTAATTGGGATATTTATCTTGTTGTGGAAATATAAGAATTGCCTATGCTTGTTTAAATAAAGAAAACAAAATCTGTTTTAAAATTGTAAAGCTTTTTTGTAGAAGCTCAGTACTTTTCCAATGCACTGTTGTACTAATGCATTAAGAATTAAAACTGTACCATGCTTAGAAATCAAGAATGCTTTTCATACAGCCCCCACCACACAGAGAGCAAACTGAACACGAGAGAGCTGCTTTTGTGACTGTGTGCCTGTCAGGAGCAGTGCATATCTGTACTATTTATGTGAACAGCTACTGTAACATAAAGCCAGTTGGATTAGACATTTAATTGCATTAAAAAAAAAAAAAACAAACAAAAAACAAACTGAAATTAAATGTTATAATTGCAGTGTTTTGGCTCAGTAATGCCACTGAAAAAAAAAAGATGATAAAAATTAGAAACTGTTCTAATGGCTGGTTATTTCTTGGTACGGTTGCAAATATATGATGGTACAAGCTGGTTTGTGCCAGTTCACTCAGTGAGGTTTATGCCCGAGTTTTCTATCAGCATTTACTCTCAGTTTTTGAGGCAACTCGGTAACTTCAGCAGACAGGAATTGGCAGGTTGTTTATTTTTCTTCTCCATCACCTGTATTAGTAATCTCTGGATGTGGTGAGTGGTCAGGCTGATACAGCCAGTGATGGTAGCCTGTGACTCAGGAGCCACAGGGAAATAACTCAAGTATTAAGGAAAACATTATTAGAGGATTAGGTTAAATTTGAAAAGTATAATTGATAATGAGTACACTTAATATGTGTGGCAAATTCTAGGGATAACAATAAAAAAAGCTTCATTAAGCTCTTTATATTTCTGATGGAGAGGTGAAAATGTTTTGAATTTACCTTTAAAATCATGTACCTGACGTGTTGCAATTGAAAATTGGAGAATGTACCTCAACTCTCATCAGTGTGTGTGTGGGGGGGGAAACATCCTTCACCCCCAATGACCCTTTCTTTGTTTCGTTCCCTAAGGATTTGTTTCCTCTGGCTTACAGGTGCAGAGGGAAAGTGATTTGGATGAATTTTGACTCCAGGGCAGTGGTTCTGAAGGGATATGAACTAACCTGTGTTCCCCAGATGACAAAACCAAAGCTGACCTCTTCCTTTCCTCCAAATGAAAACACATTTTTGGTGTTTTAGACTGGTGGTTGAACAAACTATAATCGCTGCTCTGAGCCATTTTAACATCTCCTGGGCTAGTTAAGGATCCCACAACATCCCAAAATTCCGGTTATTTTCTACATCTGTGCTTTGTGGTGTTTGCTTTAGTGGGAAACCCTGAGTGGCTACTGAGCTCTCCCTCCTCCTGGTGGGACCCGCCAGGCGAGTGTTCTTTGGGAACAGAAGAAGAAATCAGCTCCTGGTTCTGACTTTTTCCTTGGACACACATCCCTGTAAAATCAAAGTTGGCTGTTGATTTCAGGTGCTGGGTTCTCTGTGCCAAAATTTCCCTCACTTATGCATTTCTTCCTGTAGCATTCCCACAGTAAAGTTCTCAGTTGCAGTTTCCAGTAGCTTTGCTGACTTACCAGAGAGTGGAATTAGAAGGAAAAAGCCCCCTCTCTACGTGAGCACTGGGTTAGGTGTGTAAAGCTGGAGGTACCTCTCTGAGACTAGAGCTGGGGACTGCAAAGAGGGGAGCCCACGGGCCCAAATCCACGTGAAACGTGGCTCTGAGTGGTTTGAGTTTCCAGTAACATCCTGCTGCTAGAGCCACCCTCCAGTTCTGTTACAGTTTAGAGTGCGGTGTCGTAACATTTTATCTTTCTGTAACGAGCAACTAAGGAAATCTTGGAGGTTTCCCAAGTGGTCCCAAGAATAAATAATTAAATCTGAGTTTGGGAGACCTTAAGTGTTCAGTGTTTCCTCTGTTTTTTCCAGCGCTGAGTGTGCTGAAGGGGCTGAGTGCTCATTATCTGGAGGAGGGAGCAGAAATTAAATTGATGCAGCAGGAACTTCTTCATCTAACCAAGTTGTCAGTTAGCCTCTGGTAATTCAGTTTCTATTTACCTAAATTCAGATTGGATTTCAGAAAAGCCAATATTAACATTTCAATTGCTTACAAAATAGGAAAGGCTTCAGTAAGGTTCACAATCAGCCTAATTTACAGTTTATGAAATATTTTGATAGTGACCATCACTATTTAGCACTTCCCACAGTTTTCTTGGAGTTCCAGCAGGGGCACAACAGCTTTGCCTGTGCCTGCAGCCGTGTGAAGGGTTAAAATGGTGAGTTCTGTCGTGTTCTGGGGCCTGGTTGGACAGAAATGATGGGTTTGGAGAGGCAGAGCCTTGTGCACCAGCACAAGGTCACAGTGCCACCGTGTGGGATCTCCTCGCCTGCCTTCAGCACCAGCGTCATTCCCTGCAGGATCAGCAGGTTTTATTGTAGTTTTGGAGGATTCTCTTTGTCATTGCTCAGCTCAGTGGTGACCGTGTTTTATTTTTTCCAAACTCCTACTGGAAATATGTGATGCATGAGCTTCATTCTTTTCTGAGGGGACAGACCTGTACCCCCAGCAGTTACAGCAGTAACAAGGCCAAACCCTACAAGAAGTTTTATTTAGTACTTTTTATTTAGTTTAATAGTTTAACCGACACAGTTGTAGGTGCTCACTTTTTTTTTTTTTTTTTTTTTTTTTTTTTTTTTTTTTAATTGGGGTTTTATCCATTAAAAGTCTGAAGGGATCCCTTCAGAATCCTGATGTTGGCTGGACTTCCCTTTCAAGTGCACTTTTTTTCTTTCTTTCTTTCTTTGACAAGCTGGGTTTTTGGGGGGGGAAGAACTTGGGGGCAGTTAATTGAGTTGTTTTAGAAATGATTTGATTAGAGTAGGTGCCGCATGCCTGGAATTCACTCGGTGCATTTTAAAGGCCCTTTGTAGGAAGTGCTGGTGTGCGGGATGTGAGACCGCGAGGGTTTGAAGGGGCCATCATTGTCCATTGTGTGGACTTGCAGACAAGGGATTTCCCACCAGAGCTGGCACAATGGGCCATAACGACTGGCACCCCAGTTTCCGGGCACTTGTCTGGGTTATGCAAATGAGGGAGTCCAAAGACCCCTTTCCCTGGCGGATCTGCAGGATAAACAGTTGCCTACACAGACCAGTGGGCTCCCAGTGACGTGGGGATAACGTGGGGATGAGAACAGGCCAGGTAAGGCTGAGCACCAGCTTTGAGCAGTGCCAGGAGGGGGTTTCTGAACCTCCCGCGGTGATCCTCGCTGTCACACTGCAATACAAACCTCCATCCCTTCGGCTTAGCCACCCTCTCGTCCTTAGTTTGGAATCCTTGACAGGGGTGTGCGTGTCCATGGAACGGGTATCCTGGTTTTCTCACTCCTACCGGGGGGCTTGTGAGGGTCTCTGAGCAGTGAGGGGCTGATGAGCAGCCCAGTCCTCGTGGAAATGTCTGCGGGCTCCGCTGCCTTCTCCCAGGAGGAGGAGCTCTGGATGAGGGTTGGCTTGGAGCCACGCTGAGGGAATTTATAACAACTTCAGAAATATTTCCAGCCCTTGTGTACACTGGGCTTTTTGTTTACCCTCGACGAGGGAGGGGAGCAGGAGGGTGAAGAGACAGAATCAATGGTAACATATCCGAAGTACAAATAAGTTGTGTTGTGTTAAAAAGGAGGTTTGCATCTGTTACACCAGGGCTTCCCAACCTCTATGATATGCCGTGTCTTTTTTTTCCCTTCTTATGAGAAAACATACCATTGAATTTAGTTGGATTTATTTTACCTGGATTTGTTCCCTTAAGCTAAAATATTTGAGCCCCATTTCTGAATTTCGCTCTCTGCTAGTAAAGCTGTTGGTCGGGAAGCCCTGAATTTCACTGTGAATGTAACAGTTTGGGGTAGGGGGGGGGTTGTTGTTGTTGTTTTATTTTATTTTATTTTGGGTTTGTTTTTTATATCTGTTTATACTGGACTTGTTTAATACAAACTGATCCTCTGAGGTCGTTGGACAAAGTTTGACCAGGTTTGCCAGCAAACACTTAGGAGGAGTTTGTTCCTTATGTAAGATGTCATACTGCAAATTTAAATAGACTCAATAAAATGCATGAAGTGTTCATTTTGTGCTGGATCATCACTCCTTGGGTTTATTCTTATGGTGGGAATGCACTGGAGTAAAAGGGTGGTGGATGTGGTGGGAATTTATTACCCTATGCACCATTTCCCTTTAAGCTGGGCAGAAAGGGAAGAGCTGGAATGGTACAGAGTTACCTTCTCGGAAGAATTTCTCGCTTCTTGGTACATAAAACTGTAGCAATAAATCTTGCTGTGTCCCAGGCTTCTGTAAATCTGTCAGTGGATGTTGTGGGATAGCCAAGCAGCCTCTGCAAGTTGTCTCTCCGGGAGTAGCTGTGCCTTGCACAGGTTCCCATCGGAGCCAGGGGGTGCTTTCAGGGCTGCAAATCCACTCGGCAGCTTCCAGGAGAGCCTCCCGCATGTGGCTAAAAGCTTCATCCTAAAATTAGCACCTGAGGTACGTGCAAATGCTTACTTGAGTGGGCAGGAAATTTGGTAGGGCGTGGGAAGCCGGGTTTATTACCCGCGCTTCCCTCGCCTCGGCTCCGCTCCCCGGGTAGGAAGTGGGAGCCGCTCCCCGAGAGAGGAGATGGCACCGAGACAAAAGAAGGGGTAGGAAGGTGTTGTGGTGCTTGAAAACGGGTGTTGTGGTACCATGGCAGCGGGTACAGAGTCACAGCTGGGCTGGGGCTCCAGCGCTGCCAGCGATGCTCTTTTCAGACGAGGAGGAAGGTCGTGGGCTGCGCCAGGGATGCACTGACTCAGGATTCTACTCCAGCTTCACTCTCTGCAGGGACAGCTCTTGGATAAGGCTTTTTTTTTCCCCCATTCCCATGTGCTGCTTGCTCTGCAAGTGTTCAGTCTGAAACTGGGTCTTTACACAGGCGTCAGTTTTGATTTCAGGGACTTAATTCCTGAAGTGACTCCCTCACTGGGTGTTTCAGAAGCTCTTTGCCTGGTCACCGTCTCCAGCCCCTCATCTCCCTGTAGGAATTCCTTTGGCTTGGGTAACCCTGGATTTGT